TTTTAAGTCAATCATCGGTCTATAAAATGACATGGCGGGCCACATGTGGCCCGCGGGCCTTGAGTTTGACACATGTGTTCTAGGTGCTTCATTTTTTCCTGTTGAGACTGATCAGAATGAGAGAAGGCAGTAAAGGGTTAAACTGCCTCTTCTCTCTTTCTGTCTCCACCTTCTCGGGTGACTCAGCACAACAGGAAACAGGAAGTGCTTACACTCAGACTCATACTTCTGTCAGTTTTTCTTCTTTTTGGTTTGCTTTTGCCTGTTTGTGAATCTTCATTCGCTCTGTAAGGTCTTCTGCCTCTGACGCAGCTTCACCTCTCCTCCCTGCAGACAGCTAACAGTCTGCAGCTGCTGCCTCTGGCTCTCCTGTGTCTGATCACTTTGCCCCACTTTCACTTTCAGGGTAAACAAGGAGTGAAGAGTCAGAATGGCAGGCAGGCTGTCTCTGCCCGAGGAGGACCTGACCTGTCCCATTTGCTGTGCCATCTTCAGGGACCCGGTGGTCCTCAAGTGCACCCACAGCTTCTGTGCTCCCTGCTTGCAACAGTACTGGACCGGAAGGGGGCGAAGACGGGACTGCCCGCTGTGCAGAACCCAGAACCTGGACGACCCCGTGCCCAGTCTGACCCTGAAGAACCTGTGTGAGTCGTGTGTGCAGGAGGAGAGCCTCCCTGTGGAGGAGACGGGAGGGGAGCTGTACTGCGATCCAGGAGAGATGTGCCCTGTCCACAACGAGAAGCTCAAGCTGTATTGCTTGTTGGACAAAGAGCCCATCTGTGTGGTCTGCCACACCTCAAGAAAACACAAGCAGCACGACTGCTGTCCTATCAGCGAAGCAGTTCTGGATGTGAAGGTAAATACTGCAAACATGTTCCCTTCTAATGTTATAAGGTCTTATGCATTAGAAGCTTCACTTTTAATTACTCATGCAGGAGAAAATGAAGTCGGCTATTAGCTCGCTGCAGGAGAAGAGGGACGCATTTGACAAAATGAAGAAAAACTGTGAGGATGCAGTCACACACATTCAGGTGCAGTACCTCGTCTTCCCAGCCGAAGATATTCTCTCAGCATGATGCTGCCACCACCATGTTTCACCCTACGGATGGTGTGTTTGTGACAATGCACATTCTTAGTTTTCCTCCATGTAAAGTTTTGCATATATCCTATCTGGCTTGTGGTAAATTACAAATTGGTATTTTTAAACAACTACTTCTTGCAACTCGTCTTTAGCAGTCAGATTTCTACTCAATAGGTGACTTTTGATTAAAAAAAATTAAAAAATGGTTGTACTGGTACAGATATTCAGATTTTTTTGAAAAACAAAAAAATCCAAAACTACATAGAAGCCCCAAACTACTCTGAAGCTTGTGGTTGTAGTGAAAGAATATTTTCTTTCAGGCTCAGGCTCAATTCGTGGAAAGACAGACTCACGAAGAGTTTGACAAACTCCACAGCTTCCTTCGTGTGGAGGAGGAATCCCGGATGGAGACGCTGCGCAGGGAGGAGGAGCAGAAGACGGGACAGATGAGGCAGATGATGGAGGAAATCGAGAGAAGCATATCGTCCATGTCTGAAACTATCAGAGTTTTGGAGGAGGAGATGGCTCTGGAGGACCTGTCTGTCCTTCATGTAAGCTAGTTTACGATAAGAACAGGTGTGCAGGCATGCATGCGTATTGCTTCCAAGTCCTAAATGACTATTTTTTTTTCTTTTTTCAGAAATGCAAAAGTACACTTGCAAGGTAAAAAGACACATTTTCTGGTTAAATGTTTTCCTTTCTGCTATTGCACTTCACTCGCATAAAAAAAACAACTAATTGTATCTTTTGCAGGGCAAATGTTCCAGTAGGAGAGCCAGTCATGGCTCCAGCTGCACTAATAGATGTGGCCAAATACGTCGGCTCTTTAACATTCCAGGTGTGGGAGAAGATGCATAAAATTGCCAAATACAGTGAGTCTCTGCAGACGTGCTAAACTTATAACTCTTGGAAAAGCAGCTACCTTTGGGTATATTCCTGATCTGGGACTGTTACCTGAACTCTGCCATGTTCTCTTCAGCTCCAGTCACTCTGGATCCCAACACGGCGGCCCCATGGCTTGTCCTGTCAGATGACCTCACCACGGTCCACGACAGCGATGAGAAGCAGAGGCTGCCCAACAATCCGGAGCGGTTCGACCCTGACACGGCCGTTCTGGGCCGGGACGGCCTGGCCTCGGGCAAGCACGCCTGGGAGGTGAACGTAGGAGACAACACGGCGTGGGTTGTCGGCGTGGCGAAGGAGTCCATCAAAAGGAAGGAGAAAGTGTCTTCAGTCCTGAACAACGGCTACCTGTGTGTGTACTTTTACCACAAGATGTACTTTGCCGGTACTTCTCCTTTGACTCGGCTGAGTCTGAAAAGAAATCCGCAGAGGATCAGAGTGCAGCTGGATTGTGAAAAGGGCAAAGTGTCGTTCTATGACCCGCATAACAACACGCATATCTACACCTTCAAACACACCATCACTGAGGCGGTGTTTCCCTACCTCTGGGTAGGCTGTCAGAAGTGCCCTTTGACAGTTGAACCAGTGGATGTTTTCCTGAAACTTGCTGATTTTTAAGCTTTTAACTTAGGCGACCGTTTCTATAACTCTAACTTTTGTTGATCTGAACTCTCTAACATTCAGTTTAATGTTTTCAGGGTACATTTACTCAAAAAGCTAATTTCGTAACAGAGTTTTGGTTTTGTTTTGTTTTTTAATGATGATTTGGATTTCTCTTTCTAACGATGGTGGTTGTGTATATTCATGTGCAAATAAATAACCTTCAGTGTGTATGGCTGAAATGTAATTATGCTAGTGTTAGTCAGATGGGCTGCATAATCATGTTTGGGTTTGTGTTAACGCCAATCAAACTTTATTTGCAAATGCTAACCATATATTTATCAATAAAATTCTTAAAATAATATTTTATTTGATGTTGCATTTACTTTTTAATGGAAAACAAATAAAATGCAAGTCATTTACCTATTCTGTGTCCAAATTTAATAATCAATCGATTTTTAAATATTTTTTATTTTATTTTTTTTTAATAATACAAATAATCACATTTAAAATAAAAATAAAGATGGGACTTTTAAAAAAATGAATCCCAGGCAGTGACCTAATTCTATGGCAGTCATGCAATCTGACAGGAGGAGGCGCTGTTTCTTATATACATAAATATAAAAATCTCCGCTGTACAACAAGCTGAGGTTTTAAGAGTCTATATTTAATTACTGTTTGCCGGCAATTTTTTGTTTTTATTGTGATTTCAACTCTAAAAACCAAACGCAAAATAAATTTAAGTGTCTTCCCAACAGTTTGATAACACAAAAAAGAAAAACAACGTGTACTTCGATGTTTTACTTTATATTTTGAAACAAAAACAAACCCACTACTTGTTATTTTGTTTTTTCATTAGACGTACTGAAAAATTAAATTACCAGAACGCGCAGATAATAATTTCTATTTTTCCTCCTTTAAAAAGAGGGCGGATTTCTTTAATTGGCTGTCAAATTAATACACATAGTGGAAAAAAAAACGAAAAAAAAGCCCTGCACATTTGAGGTAACAACTACACTATAATTTATTGATAAATATGTCTTTAAATATTTAAACATTGCATGTGCATTAATTTCATATTATTCTGCAGACTTGTTTATTTTACGTCTTTTTTGTAATAAAGTTTTTCCATACTCGCCTGAGTAGAATAAAGGTCGTCGTCATTAACCTTCTGGAAAGTTACCTTCACTTTTCACCAATAAAAACTTCGGTCTTAAAATCGAGTTTTCTCTTTGCAGAGCCAGTTGACTCCTCAATATTTCATCCACGGTAAGGCACTAACGGTAGGTTAATTAATTATTACCGCGTTTCTATTTTATTTAGCTAGCTCTAGCAACAGAGCTCGTGCTACATTGTAGCTATTAGCTTAATTAGAAATTAGTTCAGCTCATACATTTATTTTGCTGATGCTACCTTTGTATGTTTTCAAGAGCTAACTCGAAGTCATTCACTGCAAAACAAGATAAAATGTCTTTTATATTTATCCAAGAGCTCTTCCTAAATTATTCATCACATCTTTTAACTATTTTTACTGTTTATTCCAATGTGCCCAAAATTATTTTGTCCAATGTCAAATAGGAAGTCAAAGATGTCTGATGTTTCAAGTGGGAGAAGAAAAAAAAGAAAGTTGGCACCCAAAGCCCCAAAGGGCCCATCTGACAGTCCCAAAGCCATGATGCTCAATTCATCCCTTCTCCTCCTGGAAGTGCCTGCCGACACCAACACCAGCCTCCCGGTGTGGGATGCCGTGAGATCCCTGAAAGTCGGCGTCACCTGGACGGTCAAACCTTACGGCATCAGTATCAACTTAACACCTCTTCCTGTGAAGCAGGGGGACGTCACCGCTTCCTGTGAGAGAGAAAACACATCCAGTGTGGCGGAAACCTCCAGCCTTCAGCTGCAGATCCAGAACACCTCCTGTGTGTTGCTGACTTTCTCCCACAGCTGCCTGCCAACGCCGCCCCACACAAATCAACCAAACCAGAGTCTTGTCAACCCGATTTCTGTGTCACTGCCTCTCCTCATCACTCATTCTCCACCAGGATATCAGCCTGGCACCATTGCAACCATAAAGCCCCCACCTGCTATCCAACCACCTACAAGTGTTTCCGGCGACCTTGATGTTGAACCCAAGAAACCTGATCTCTTATCGTTTCACACAAAGGTCTCCCCTGATGTCTGCATCTGCGATAACTTCCTTCTGGGTGCATGTGATGCAGGGGTAAAGTGTAAGATGCACCACACACCTTACCCTTTCCACTGGCAGCTGTGGTCTATAAAGACCCACCAATGGATCGACCTCTCACCTCGCGCTCAGGTCTTACTGGAGAGGAGCTACTGTTGTGCTGAACAGAGCGACGTTACCCTCGTAGACAAGTGAGTTTTGGTTCAACTACCAATAATTTAGACATCAATTTATGGATTCTAATGACTGTAATTGTTTTGAATTTCCTTTTAGGGAAAAATACCACGTCCTGGACTTTGAAACAATGGAGCTGGACGATCTCTCAGAGTATGATGCAGTTAGGCGACTTACTAACTCAGAGAACGTAGAAACAAACCCTCACTTTCCAAGCAAGAGCAAAATCTACTGGTGTGAGGGCATGGACTACAAAGAGTACAGCGTGGTAACTTTTGCTTTTTTGGTTTTATTAATTCTCCTTTGGTTTAAGTTTGCAGTGTATCAAAACCACAGTTTTCAGTTAATGGCTGTCCAAAACAGCTGTGCATGAGGCAGGGAAACAGGGTTGAGCGGTCATTCATTTACCTCTGAAGTCGAAACTTGGAGCTGGGAATGACTTATTTTACAAGTTAAGAGTAACTTGTAAAATACACATGTATTTATCACAGTTTACTGTAGTTGAAGTTACGATTTGTGGATTGATCAATATGAGGAACTCACTTTGGAAGATGAAATCCCCATGAAAGGAGCTACAGCATATAAGGTTAGAAGATGGGTTTCTTGAAGATTGTGACATTAATTTCCATTCAGTATTTGTGTTTAAAGTCAGTTTTTCACAATTTTGAATGCAATTTTATTCACTTTCAGAGAGATATAAATTTGAAAGTCCTCAACAAGAAAATTAAAAGAAATATATTTTTAAAAAAAATACACCAGGGGCAGAGTATATCCAGAAACCCCTGAGGGATGTTATATTGTAATCCAACTGCTGCTGAAAAGCACTGATATGATTGGAACCCTCTTACCTTTAAAGCATAGCATCGGGTTTTTCTGCTGTAGATTTTCACCTGCTCCAGTTTTGACCTAGAGCTTTCAACTTACAGCTTAATTTCACCGCCGCTGTGTGAATGACTGAACTCGAAGTACGCTCATGTTCATGTCTTTCTAGGATTTGTCTGCCCTTCTCCTGAAAAAGATGAGTGAAAAGGAGCTAAAATGTTCCTTCAGCATCGGTAAGCAGAAGTACGAGGTGGACTTCACCAGTATGACCCAGACCAGAATCAGCACCGGCTTCCAGAGACAAATTTGTTGCAGACCTGCCTACCGCTCACCAGAGTCCATGTATCCTTACCTAAAGTTTGTATTCTGGATCTTTCCCTTTCCGTCTGTTGCATCTTTGTTAGACATATTTATATTTTCTAAAACTCTTCTTGCTTTTAGGACTGGAGTCCAGTCTGACTTAGATAATTGTGAGGCCAACGCTGCTGCGGCTAACTTCAGCGTAGATCCTCTGCAGGAGTTCAGCTCCTGGTACCCTCCAGTCTGGCTTCAGGGCTCAGAAGAGGATTACCTCCTGGTTGATGTTCCGGCTGGGACTCAGGCATCCCGGAGCATCAAAAAGTTCTTCCACGAAAACCTGCCAGAGACCAAGGTCGACATCATCAGCATCCAGCAGATCCAGAACCTGCTGCACTGGGACAAGTACCAAAGGTTGTGGCCTTATTATTTAGAGAATTGCAACACAAAAAGTCAAGTAATAATTAAATAAAAAAATAAAATAAACCTGCGTTGTCGTCACAGGCAGAAAACACACATGCAGAAACACCACACGGAAGCCGAGGGACCTCTGGAGAGACATCTCTTCCACGGGACCACAAAGGTCGCCTCAGAGAGCATCTGCCTCCACGGCTTTGACCCCCGGGTGGCCGGCCTCAACGGACACTCTCACGGGTTCGGCTCTTACTTTGCTACCAACGTGCTCATGTCCCACGAGTACACAGAAGCAAACGAGTACGATGAGGTTGGTTGCATGTTTCTGGCCAAAGTCCTGGTGGGAAGAGTTTGCTTGGGGAAACATAACTACCGGCGACCGCCCAACGGCAAGGTCAGTCTCTACGATGCCTGCGTCGACAACAAGCAAAACCCTCTGATGTTTATAGTGTTTGACAGCTGCCAGTGCTACCCATACTACCTGATCAAGTACAAAAAGTTATCTGAAGAGATTAATATTCTCGACTGATGAGAATTAAATCAGAAATAGTCTGTCAGAAAGTGTTCATGACAATATGCAGCATTTAGAAATGTTAGAAAATGTTCTGGTTAACATAAAGTGCACAGTTCTGCAATGAAGTTTTCACCAAAAAGGATTGACAGTTGATTTGTTTTTACAAGTTCTTTATTTTTTCTTCTTTAAAAGACCGTACATCAGTGGAAATAAGCACTTCTGAGTTCCCTTTTCAAATTTCCCAGAATCAAATTGAAACGTTTATGAAAATTGTTTTCAGTCAATAAAATTCTTTTTCACACATAATTAAATGTAAAAACAGGAATTGAGAAATTGTAACATTTGTATTGGTTCTAATAAAAGCATACATTTCAGACTGGGAAGTTTTTCACTAAACTCACTTTGCAGGAACAGAGAAACATGATGGTAATTTTTTATGGAAATCTAAATTCTTCAACAGTTTATTGCACAATCTGCCATGTAGAGTTCAGACAAAAGTGATTTTTGAAATATTTGTAAGAAACTGTGTAGCACATGAGGAGTGTAACAGGTGGAGAGCTCCAGAGGGCCATTTGAGGCCTTATTTCAGGAGAGGATAATACAATATAAACCTAACATTTTTTAAAAAACAAAGAGTTAAAGTTTGAACTTCTTATGAAGTCTTCTCTGATCCACAGTTAAAATTGTAAATATATACTCAAATATAACTGCACACCCCAATGATATTAGCTAAATTAGTCTTGGCTAATTAGCCGTTTAAAGTAGGTAAACTTAAAATTCTGCTGAGCAGAGCGGTCACATATGAAGTACAGATGTATGTATATATTTGAGCCTACATGTGTAGCGTTTCGATAACGTTTGTGGATTTGTGTGAAATTCTTACTTCTGCACGTCTTATAGAAGAAAAAGAAAGAAAAATGAGGCACCTACACATGGCTGACTACCATGTAGAGAGAAATTATATATGGGCAGTACAAATTTTCATTTAACTTATGTTTGGCTTTTGTAATTAATACAAAAAACAAACAAACAAAAATCACAGTTTGTGCATCTGTTCACCAAAATAACAGCTCACCAGTGTTATAACAGGAATTTAAAAAAAAGATTGTCTTTATATTCTGGTAAAAGGAGTAAATCAATCCAAAAAAAATAAAATAAAATTAATGTGTATTGTATTTTTTAAAATGTGCAATGGTGCATTTATGTGTTTGTGACGCCAAAACTAACATTTCAGTCACACAAATAAAACATCCATGCATAAAAATGCACTTTAGACACAAGGGGCAATTAAAATAGGTGGCAATAATAATAATATTAATTATAACTGAATTTGTAAACAAAATAAAGGCAAACAAAAAATAACTGACCACTTTTCTATTTAGGAGGCTAAACTTTGTGCCTGCAGATGGCGCCAGAGGGAAAAAGGATTAAATAGAGTAGAAACAACAGAATACAAGATCAGTTCAGTTCATATATCTTTACATGAGGTTATAAGCATGACATCAGCTCTTCTTGTACATGGTGTCTCATAAGATGGAATGAGTTTTCTCTTTTAGCCTGTACATGTTTTACATATTAACAGCAGCTGAACACAGATGGTTCAAATCATATGAAACTACCCGTGTAAAGCTGTTTTACAGCATGAAAATCAAAAAGAAAGACGAGTGAAACACGCCAGCTGGCTTGCTTGCAGGACACCCTCCCGTTACTCACAGGCCAGCTTGTTGTCAAAGCTCGACAGGCCAATGGCAAAAGCTTGAAGAGCACACATAGGGTAGCTGTAGTCGAGGGTGAAGATGTCTTCGGCAACTCTTCCAAACTGCATGATGATGTAGTCAGCTGTGGTTGGAGGAAACGCCGTGTTCAGTCGACAGTCAAAAAACAAAACAAAAAAAAACAGTCAACAGCGATGCCACACATTGAAGTAAACACTCACGGTCGTTGTCGTGTACTATCTGGAAGTTTTTCACTGAAGCTTGTGTTACGCGGCCGTGGAAGTTCAGAACATAAGACTGGGTGTCTTCGTTCCAAACGGGGGCCTTGTTGTGCAACTCAATCAGGTTTTCCATCACGTTGCTCTGCCACCTGCTCACCAGGGTCTCTTGTTCCTGCCACATAAACCAAAACATGCTAATGCTACCTCCAGAAAATATACACACCCCTCACTATCAACAATTTGTCTTCAGAAGACATCTAATCAGCAAATTGTTCCAGAATTGCACCAGTCATGGTTGCAGCATGGTGGCAACGTAACAGAACTCCTTTAGGTAGTTCATCATTCTGATCTGTTCTTTTTGGCTGAGGCGTTGCTTTAATGGACAGTTATTTCCTCAGTTTTGGAAGAATTGTTGCTCTCACTTTTTTTTTTTTTTTTTTACTTTCAGACAGTTGTCATAATGCATATCCATGGTAACAAGTGTTTTTAAAAGTGGGAGCAGCTGATTCACATGTTAAAACCTTAACTACAACTCAGATCCCAGAGAAGTTGACAATGAGAACCAACTGATGACATTATCTTGGACATGTTACTATCATCTCTGTTGAAGTGCATTGTTAGAATGACACCACTGCCACAAAAGACTAAAGAACATAACATAAAGAAAGTTGTGTTGAGAAGTTTCAAGCAGATTTAGTTTATTAACCAGCATTCTTAATCCAGTATGTATGACATAACTGCAAATTTACTAAGATATGGTCGTCCACCTAACGTAACAGGTCAGGCGAGGAGAGTTAAAGATAATTAACGACACAGCCAACACTGCAGAGTTCAGAGGAAATACTTTTGCATAAACCTTTTTTCTGTGGGACTCACATTTTGAGGCCTTACAGGGATCCGCTCATAGTTCAAGTTCATCCCTGGGAGGAGAACGGTCATTTTACGTGGACCTTTGAATCCCAGCAGGTTGGTATCCTGACAAAAAAAAAAAAAAAAAAAAAGGATTGCACAAAGAATGTGATAATGTCACCATAAAGGACACGCTCAACAGCATCTTGGTTTTTTGCCACTGGCTCACATAGCAGATTGCAGCCAGCTCCTGTCGTGTGTTGCTTTCTTCCAGCAGCATCCCGAGGTTTTTGCCGGGATTGATGCCGTTGTCATACACTGTGAATTTAGTACCCGTGTAGTTGGACCTGGTTAAAGAGAAAACACACGCATATATATATATATATATATATATATATATATATATTTTAAAACTATTTCTGTTAAACCAACATGCCCACAAATGTGTTTGTTTAGGTCAGCAGTGGTTCTAGCCTTGAAACTTTCCTGTGGCGGCCATTTTGCCCAGTCACTCTTTTATTGTTAGATCATGAACTCTGACCTTAACTGAGGCAAGTGAGCTCTTTAGAGCTTTGGATGTTATTCTGGGATGTTTTGGGACTTCCTGGTTAAATTGTTTATGTGCTTTTGGAGCATTTATTTGATTATGTTTCTGAGCAAAGCTAAAGGGCTAATTCACCATTTTTAAGAAATCAGGACTTCAGTTGTGCATTCAGAGAGAACAAACCTGAGCGGGATGATTCCCAAATTTTTTAGAGATTTGTTTGAAATTCATTAACTCTTAATTCCAAATTGATAAGCAGCATCTTAGAATTAAATGGACAAAAAAAAAAACACATACCTTACTTTTATTATTCTACATCTATTTGATTATCTAAGAAACTATAATGTTTAAAACTATATAGTCTCTTTGTGAAAACTACGAAAAAGCATTCGGCTCGCCTCAGTTTGCCGATGAAGCTCTCTCCGTCTCGTGTCAGATCCGTGGCATCCACTGAAATCAAGTAGTTGGATGTTTTGCTCTTCTTTCTCTTTCTTCCAGCCAACAAAAACGCCTGCAGAGAAAAAGATATTGTAAAATTAAAACTAGGGACCTGACTTTGTGAGTAACATAAGTTCATTTGTCTGGCTTTCACCTTTCTTTCTTCGTCTCGCTCCATGTGCATGAAGTAGGTGGGGTAGAGGCCGCGGTCCATGCCCTTCTTGTCCCGAGTAATCCTGCATTTAAAGATGACGCCGCGAGGAGCCGGCAGCAGCACAAACTCCTCCAGGTTGGCTGCGTCTGCAAGGACGCTTTCTGCAGAAAGTGATCCGGGGATTACTGCCTCCTGGGATAAAAGGGGAAGAATGCAGCACTTAATTTTCCTGGAATTACCTGAATGAGTCGGTAAGCGAGTGGTAGAAGTTGGTGAAAAACTCACGGGAGCGTTTTTGCCGCTGGAAGCCGAGGCGGGTCTGGGTGCGTCGGCATTGGAGAACAGAGAACCCGTCCGTTCCTCGTTTGCCTCGTCTCCGTGCTCGCTGGCTTCATCAAAGTTCATGCTTTCACACAGACCTGTCGAACGGCACGAGGGGAAAAAGCATGAGCACAGATCGGCAAAACGGTAATTCCTATTGGGAAGCTTTTTCACGCAAGGCAAGAAGGCAGAAAACGTGGCGGAAATCCTCCAGCACAAGATTTCTTTTTAAATAAATCTCTGGAGAGGATTAAAGAAGACGCCTCGTTCTGCTCTTCGATACATGAAAAGTATTTCTATGTATTATGCAACACTTGGGAAATGTCTGACTCCTGTTTCTCTGGAATGATCTACGGGGCATTTCTTCTTCCACAGGGAGACGGCTGGCTGCTCTTCTATGCAAAAAAAAAATCTTAACAATTCAAATAATTACTGGATCATTTCAAATCAGAAACAGGATGAGAATGACTCAGCTCTTCCTACTCTGCAAATGCCAGAGTTTTTTTGTTATGAGGCTTAACACTAGGAGCCAGGCAGTCATGCAGATGTAAAATGATTCCAGCAGACGGAAGGCCTGAGGCATCTGTCTGCTCATTGGTAATTGGATTTATCAGCCAAGACGTAGCTCTTGGCTGCCGCTAGACCCAACTTTAATTCACTGATGGAAAGAAGTGGTGGTCCACTGGTGCTAAAGCATCTCAGGAAAGGACAGAAATTATAATACAGTGAATATTCTAACTTGGCATAGCATTTAAAAGTGATAAATAAGTTAGCTCAATTCAGTTCAAAAATATCTTAGTTATCCCAAAGGGAAATTAAATGTCACAAATTATATCGTTAAAGAAACTACAAAGAATCTTTGTGGATTTGGGCTGGAAGGGTCTGCAGTAGCAGTCTGTCTTCCAACAAGTCTTAAGAATCCTCTGACTGAAGACTGCTGCTGTATGACAGTCTCATGGCAGAGAAGCGCTGGAGTCTGGGACACGATCCGATTAATGGAAGACCTGGTTCAAGGATCACGTCTAAACACTGGCTATGAGTTCAGACTAAAGCAGCACACACAAAGAGCTAACAATGCAAAAAAAATATAATAGTTGAAATCTTTTTTTTTTTTTTAAAGAAAGCAACCAAACAAAATCCGTTGTTTTCCTGAGAAAACAGAATGAATGGAGACCTTTTGGCACCAAGCTGACCTTGTTTCTGTAGCAGCTGGTGGATGTCTGTCTTGGGCTCCAGCAGAGTGGCGGTGTCGCCGTCTTGTTCCGTTTCTTCGGCTGCAGGACTCTGCGGCTGAGGCGGAGACTGATGGCGGGGCTGCGGCGACGAGGGCTTGCTCACTGACCGAACTTGGATTTTGGTTCCCAGATCGCCGGCTTCTGATCCCAGGAAAGCTGCCGGTCCATCAATACCTACAACAGTTGGAAAGTTATTACTATTATTCTGTTATCTTTACACAGAGAGTCACTCTATCCACTGTTTTGTATTTAATCATTAGAAGCCATCTTAAAACCTTTGGTAGTTTAGTATTTTTGATAAATGATGTCAATCAAAACAAGAGTATACAATGTAAAGTTGCATACAATGCCCCATTTTTATTAACTGTGGTTCAGTTATTGGTTTTTATGAAATATGTCTGATTAAGACTCTGAATGAAACCAAAATAACAATGAGCAGCAACTTAAACATGTCAGAACACGTATTTTAATCCTCTTAAAACCTTTTTACTTTAATAACTAAGGTGACAGATTGATTCACCATTAAAACATTAAACAGGACAGGTTTTTATTCCATCAATCTGCCAAATGATGGAGGACGAGGAACTAATGATGTTCTCCTCAGTTAGAAGTTAAT